TCCAGGCTGATTTTTCACATCTGACCACAACAATCTCAGCTTATATTTACTTTTGTGATCAGCTTTGTTCAATTTGTCCACAGGCTTGATATGTTTTTAAAGCCTTAAATGTTCACAAAAAAGAGAAATACATATCTGTATGGCTTTCTTTCTTCAGCAAAACACAAAATATGATGTTTTGAAGAATGTTGATAACCAAACAGTTTTGGTGAAACATGTACTTCCATTGTTTGGACAAGAGATCTTCTTTTATGAATGCTCTACTATATGCAGCTCAGCGTGTCTCAGTTTTACACTTACTAATTGAAATGGTTATGTAGTCTTTGATATATCCAGTAGGATTGACAGAAAATTGGAGAGATGATGTGAGTGAAAGCTGAAGCCTTTTTCAACAACAACTACTGGAAATAGACTAGGCTAATATTTTGAATATGTCGACAACCACGTCAGCTTATATTTAATTTAGGCTTTAAAGACACAACAATCACTGTGTACAAACAGTCTGAAAGTGTTAATTCACCCAAAAATTATTTCATTATTTGCTGACCTGCATGTCATTCCAAATTTTCTTTCTTTCTGGACATTCTTCTGCAGAACACGAAAATATTCTGAAAAATGTTGGTAATCAAACCATTTTGATGCCCATTGACTTCCTTTATATTATGGACTCAAAAAAGAACAGAACATTAATATCTCAAAATATTATCTTTTATGTTCTACATAAGAAAGTCATACAGGTTTGAGAAGACATGAGGGCATACAAATGATTTTTGTGTTATCCCTTTAATTCGCTCCCTCCAATGCCTGACGGCCCGACAGTTGATACGGATCATTGGCCGCTCTCTTGCTCCATTATATGCTGTTCATTTGACTTTTTCTCCCAGTATGTGAGTGCTAATATCACAGTGGTGACGTCCCACCTCGTGCATTAGTGTACCCGAGCACATAACTTCATGGAACATCCTTTAAAAATAGATCTGGGGGGGGCTTGATGATTGATGGCTTTCTAATGAGTGCGCATTCCATCAGCAGATCTCAAAACTGCCCAGAGGCGACACTTTTTGGGTGTCTTTCTCTCTCAGGCTGCTCAAGGACTGTGAGAATTTTCGCTTCATCCGCGCTCAAGGCGCTTTATACAGCCGACTGGCTGCCAAATACTCAAAAGCTAACCTTAGGGTTTGGGAGCAGCTACATGGGAACCTGTCCACACACTTCTCAGGTTGCATCCGGCTATTATGCGGCAGTAGGTTTTGTAGAAGTTATTTGTTGTTCTTTGTGAGAAGTATCTTGAGCGTGCACTGGTTTATTGATTATCAGCAAACAGTTTGTGATTTTTAGCATTATAATATGTTTGCGTGCATCAGTGATGTTAAGTCTGATGAGTTACTGTTTTGACATCACCATAAACATCACGTGGAAAAATGCATTAAACTGTTTGCAAACTTGTGTGAGTCTGAGGAAATGAGGATCATTAAGGAATGATTGGACTGCTTTTGAATATCTCAGCTTCTGCCTTCAGGCTCTTGTGTTTATTGTTTAGATTTCACGTTTCAATTCAACACAGGCCTTCCAATACAGCATTTTCACACCTCTCTAGGGTTACAAAGTAAAAATTTTGACAGACTTTTACAGCCGATAGTGTTCTCCCACATAAAGGCTGTTTTTGTGCAATAAATGTTTTGGCTGTCTGATATTACAGTTGTTTTTCCAACTTTTGTGCATCCCTGACTAGATTTAGGAGGTAATATTAAAATAAAATCTTTTTTTTTTTTTTTTGCAATAAACCGCACTAACCACTAGAGGCAATTGAGTGCATGACATGTGAGAGCTTTAAGACGGATCTGTCATTTTTCACACTAACACTTGCTCCCAGGGGATGTTTAGTGCTCAAGATCTCAATGCCGCTACTGTTTAAAACCATTACCATTGATGTTTATTGAAAGATTGAGAAAATGCACAACCTGGCTGGTGTGTAATTATAACAAGGTATTGCAATATAAAGATATTGAGTGGTGTGATTTCTTTTTTTTAGACTGTGATGAATGATTTTATGTCTTTGCTTGGATAAGACCACTCCATTGAAAATGGCCTGACAGTATTTATCACACAGACATCCTTGTTCCAGTGGCAGTCATTCGGATCTCGTCAGGTCAAAACACGCATTCTTCTCTTTGCTTTAACCCGCACAGCTCACCCACTCCACTACCTAGCAGTCAATCAATATCTCTTTCAACCTTAACCCACTTAGATGTTACCATTGTGCTGGTGTAATCCATGTCTATTTATCTTCACTCAGTTGTATCTAATACGATACTATTCCATCACTCTGTTTGACATTGAAGGACTAAGCATCAAAACCTCATCACCATTGCTTTGCAAGAAAACATGGACCCTTGTTTAAGATGTATAGTACCTTACCTTTATAAGAGATACCCTGCTTTGCAGGAGTACAATTAATTTGTTATTTTAATGGTATTCATTTTATTATTTTATTCACGCTTTATCTTTATACTTTTTATTTTTATTTAAACTTTTAGTTTTTAATTATGTTACCTGTTAATACAATTTTTTAGAATCAGCCCACAAAATTCGTTCTGCCATCAAAGAGGAGGAAAGTGTTCTTATCTCATAGTATATCTTATTGCTTATACCTTATACCTTTATTTTATACCTCTTATTGCTTATCTTACACTTTTTTTCAGAGTGCCTTGGTGCCTGCTCTCAACGGACATGTGTTTTGTGGACAAACAGGCAGATCTGCTAATAAGTTTACAAGATCAGATTTCTCTCTGCAACAACATTTGTTTTGAGGGTGATTTTTCTTTGTGTCTGTGTGTGTGTGTGTGTGTGTGTGTGTGTTGAACATCTGCTTCTCAGAACTCTTTGACATTCTCATTGTTTTCTTAGCCACATTTTCCCATTCTGAATGTACTGTATTTTCTTACATTGGATAAGTTCTTCAGCTGGCACATTGGGTTGCTTTGTGTTTAATGTGAAACATGATTACCATGAAAGGATTCAAACAGTCAGTCTTTACTAATTAGTGTCCACCATATATTATGTATGTAGATATATGAACCAAAGAAAATTATATCTTTAATGTCATCCTCTAAACGTTTATAATACCACCCCTAAATTGGTCTGTTGATGAAGCTAGTTCGTTTATAATATGTCAGAGAATGCTTAAAGCAAAAGATATTAAGATAAAAAGATAAGTATCCCGAGCCACAGCATCTTAGACTCATCTTTTACTTTTTCCTCAGTGTTTGTGCAATTTCAAACACTAACACTCTCTGAAAGTAAACCACTGTGTCCAAATATGAGGGAAATATATCGTCTATGTCTTTGTTTATTATTTCTGCCTGTTCTTGTGTTAGTGTGTGGCTGTGGGTAGGTTGAATATGCGTATTGAGTTAGTTTTAAAGGCTTGTGGGATTCTTAGATTCACACAAACACTATAACACAATAGCGCATGCAAAACAACTTGAAACTATTAGCACTACTCTCAGTGTAAATTTACACATGAAAAAGTACACAGAACTGGCAATACAAGTCGTACACTCCCAAACCACCACAAACTATCATTGTTATTTTAAATGTTGGGTTTTTCCATAATTAAAAAGAAAATGAGAGAATACAGTATTTTGAGCTCTTCATGTTTTTCATCACTCTTTTAAAATGATGAAAGGTGATTGGGCAGGTGATTCAAGTCACATGCTCAACAATTCATCAAAAGAGCTTTGAATCTATTTAGATTGTAGATGGAATTGAAGTTAATGAGCTTTTTCAGTAGTTTAACTACATTTGTGTTTTCCAGTGTGTTGAACTCAAAAGAAAAGGTTTAAAGAGGCATACATGTACAGTATGAAGTTTAAATTTAGCTTTTTTTTTACCTACAGTATATGATGTAGTTTTATATTGAATGACTAGGCAGTTTAGCCCTCTTAAATTCAGCATAAAATGAAAAATCTGCATGTTTCACTTTTTAAAATTAAAAAAAAGTTTATTCAGACTTAGTCTGCTTAAGCTCGCATTCAGCCGATTTGCCTCCATCCTGCAACAAACGCTCTACATTTTTTTTTTTCGATTATCCGTTTCACTCTGATGCCCATCACAATAGTGTCGCTACTTCGGTTTCATCACAACTTTCAATTTCAGTGAAATTGTCCAGTTTTCCCCCAAGCCACCATGGTCGACTTTAACTAGTACATGCATATCTCATTCTAAGTAGGGAAGGTGTTCATAGTAATGAGTTCTCCCAAATGAAGGTCTAAAGCACTGGTATAACTTCTTCCTTATGACGAATATGAGTCCCAATGCAAGACAGACAAAGGCTTGTCAGAATTCCCTGCTTGCTCCTAATTTTGGTCAGTTTTGGATTTGGCCTTGCGGTTTTCTTTGCTTTGAATTCCATCTCCATTTTAGAAAACCGCCTCCAAAGTGTGAAAAGTTCGGCTGGATTAACTTTATCAATTCCCTGCACTTAATGGAAAACCCCTGTGAGAGGACTTTGAAGTGTCACAGATGCTTTCCAATGAAAACAGCCTCAGACCTTCTCTCCGTGTCTCTTGAGGCAAAGCGATCCACTGGCTGCCTTTTTATTCAGCCTTCTCTCTTTTCCTCTCATACCAGCATGAACACCGCAAAGTATTTAAGGTTACCGTTTGATTGCCAGTGACACAACATTGGCCTTGTGAAATGGCTTGTTTTTGAAAAGTGACTGAGACAGCATGATTTGTTGCTGAGATATCTAATAGATGTAGACTTTCTTGACATTTCAGAAGACGCAGAGTAAAAAGTTTGAATTAGTTTCAAAGTAACCATAGCGATTTAATGAGCTCTGGATATACATCAAAATTGCGATTTGATTCAATTCAGCATACTAGAAAAAAACATCCTTCAAGGTGTTTGACTTTAATTTCAGAGGCCAGGTCAAATACAGAGCCCTTCCTTCTCCTTTCTAAATGAACTCGCATTCTAAGACTTGTCTCTCTTTCCAGCACGACGTGTCGCAGAGTTTGCTGAGGGCAGCGTTGGACGGGGTGGTGCAGGAGTGTGTGAGCTTCGTGGGAGTGGACATCAACATCTGTTCAGAGACGCTGATGAGGTAGAGACCAAATACTTTCCAGCAGGAGTCACAACATGGCAACTTCTCACTCGCCTCCCTGCTATTGCCTAGCTCTCTGTTTAGTCTGACACCCTACACGTATACACGCGCACACACACACACACACACTCAGTCGCACGAACTGTAACATCTTTTCACTTCCCCACTACACACAAACATTGTGATCTATATACACAAACATTGCTGTTCCCTAACATATACACAAATTGAGATATATAGCCTCGAATATTAGTCACATAAACTTACAGAAACTCTGAAATGTATACATTCATTATATCCACTCGCTCTGTCTAATACCTTGTAGGATTTCGTGAGTAATTGCAAATTGTTTGCACTGTGGAAAAAGGTGGCTTGGAATAATATATTTCCTGAATACAATAAGAATCATGTCTACATGCCCCTCGACATGCCTTAGAAACGTTTGCTTTCATTTACACAGCTTATTCTTAAAAAAAAAAAAAAATACTTTCAACACTATAGAGGTTGGTATGTGTACTTAAGCAAGTTTAAAAAAATGTTTTGATGAAAGCAGGTAGACTTTCATATTTCATCAATACACTAAATTTAAATGCATGTAAGCATTAGAATGAAACAGGCACGCATTTCTCAAAGATCAGATTGCTATATTTAATTCTGTAGACTTATGCCTATGATTTATACTGTACTTAGACACACATACATCACTATTCTGAGCTAGAAAGCTATATGATCCCATTAAGAGGCAGGGTTAAATGCTCGTGAGGTAGGCTGGGAACAGGTCATCTGTTTACCTGACTTTAAATGAGCTCTCAGTACCAGAACTCCAGACGACATGTTCGTGGCTCCAGCATTATTCGCCCGTTATTTATAAGTGATGACATACAATGTTTACATAGCTGCTTTTAGGGGAGCTGCCACTTCGAATTGGCCATACCGGGTCACAAAAAAAAAGCGTCTCAATGCCTTTCTGTTTTGTATGAAAAGGTCAAAAAGATTATGAGATCTTAGGCAGCCATTTGGTAATTCTGCTGGAAAATGTTTTCAATATTTTACTAATATCTGACTTCTTGTTTGTGAATATATGGGGATTACATAAGTATGAAAAATAATTTCCATAGCCTTGGGTGGACTTCTAAGGTGAAGTTCTTAATACAGGATGTGTGGTTAATGCTGGGTATTATTGACATATGAAGCAATGACTAATTCTATAAACAAACTGTAACTGAACTGGGCGTTGAAGCAGGAAGTTGTGAGAGATTAAATGTAGGCTTTTTAAACTAAATATCTGAAATTTCTGACAGGTCATGATAAGATATATTTTAGGATGCCATTTCTGAATGTCAAGAGAAAAATAGCAATACCAGTCAAGCCCATCAGGACAAAAAGTAATAAAACAAATTTAATTGTGTGTTTTGTTTTATTAGGCACATAGCAGGTCTGAATGCAGGGCGAGCACGCAATATTATGGAGTGGAAGGAAAAGAACGGACCTTTTCTCAATAGAGAGCAGCTAAAACTGGTCAAAGGCCTCGGCCCTAAGAGCTTTCAGCAGTGTGCCGGCTTCATCAGGATCAACCCTGAGACAATACCCAGGTATACGGCTGGGCCATGCTACTTCTACTTCTAAATACAATACAAATAATTAATATTAATACAATATTAATATTAATACAAATAATTATGCATTATTTTTCTCACATGATCATACAGTATATTTATAAACATAATGGCTTGTGTATAAAGTGATCAATTATTTGTCTAAACATTAGCCAAGAATTATTAATGCTTCTTATGCTTCAGTGAAGATGTGCCAGTGGCTAATAATGATGATGACCTTTGCCTCCAAATGCTATGAAATTAAAATACTATTAATATCACAAATTTTATCAGATAATGTAAAAAACCTTCACTACATAAACATTTTCTGAATATTAAACCTTTTTCTGGCTGATTGATGAAAATAATGTGCAAAAGTGATTGTTTAGTGAATTATTTAACTTATTTTCTCAGTTAAATTCATATGTTTTGAGCAAAGTGGGTCAAGTTGTCTCATTTTTTTACTTTAGTATTTAGTATAGTACTTTAGTATTTAGTATAATTTGTTATAGACAGTTCTAATTTCAGTCGATAATCTTCTAATCTCATCCTTGTTTATTATAATGGTGTCATCAGAATCATCTTATTTCTCCTTGTTGAAAGCAAGTAAATAGTGGCACATCTTACCCCAATCTCCCTTTTTACTGTAATGTTTTTGTAATTGTCCTTCATACAGTATCTGCTCTAAGGGGAACGAAGACCTTGAGGTTCAGAAACAGACAGCTAAGAAGAGAAAAGTCAAGGGCTCTGATAGCACATCTGGGTTTAACCCTCTGGACCAAACCTGCATCCACCCTGAATCATACAGCATCGCTTTCAGGTGAGCACACACAGAGCATGACACTGAACTGTCACATTACTGTACTACAGCAGATGATCATTAGGACTGCTTAAGGATTGACCCAAGTGGTAGCGTGTGTTTACCTCAAGTGGGAGCATCTGGGTTGCTCAGTGTGAGAGTTGTGCGAGCTGCTGCCGCTCGTATGAAAAGCACATTCAGCGTGTGCTCGGCTCTCTCTGGCAGTGAATGACGCTCTCTCCACAGCTGTGCTGCTCAAGTCTGTTTAGACTACTCCAATCTGACACTTGTGCCTGTTGCTCCCAGAAGATGTGCGCACGGATGCTCTGTGGTTTGGATGTGCTTGCGTGCATGACAGCTGCAAGTTAAATCAAAATCAGTGCACGCATGTGAAAGAGGTTTTTTAAAATTGAATATGAACCGTGGGCATGGCATCCGAGTGCTGTGGAATTTGGAGGATTTATTGGTGAATGGCAACCATAATTTAGTAACAAGACATTCATTCACTGCCTATTACTCACACACTTTTTTAATTTCCTTCATAGCTGATGTCGTACTTTGGCATTTGGTGTCCCTTTGTTTGTGTATGTGTGCTTTTGCGTACTGAGACCACATTGAAAATCTGGGATTGTTTTTTTAAACCTGGAGATAAACAAAGAAAATAAAAACGTTATATATATATATATAGGATAGTATAGTTTATCTGTACTGACATTCTGTTTTAATTCTATTACATATATTATTGTAATTCAATTAACATGCTTTCAGTGCAAATTATATTGCATAATAATAAATAGAACATAATATAATAGATTTAAAATAGTCGTATTTTCACTGGTGGTCTGAGACTTGTGGACCCCACTGTGTATGCGTGTGTGAGTAAACTGTCTGTCCACTCTTTCTCGGCCTGATCTGTCATCAGAGGCGCCTTTTGGGGTCAGAGGTCTAATAAAGCCACTTAGGGGTATGGAGTGGGGGAATAATCACCCTGTCATATCCTCCCTCCTCTCCTCCTCTTCTGTTTGTTTTCATTTCTCTCCGTTAGGCTTCATTTCCGACTAAACCAGGCAGAAAAGCCTCCCTTTGCAGTCCCTTGTATTATCACCATTCTCTATCGTTACCAAATGCTGTGCTAATGGACGTTTCTCCACTCCAATTGTCATCATGAGCCCAAGCATATTTTTCTTGGAGTAACAGGATTTGATTAAACATGGCCACCAGCAGTGCTGAGTTGATAATGTAGCGCCCAGCTAATGTACCGGACTTTAAACAAGGGTTTCTAGGGGGCTTGGGAGGAATTCTGGGTATTGCTAATAAATTGTACCAAATATGTTGCGAGCTTCAGCCAGGGCTGGAATCATAAGGCTAATGATGCGAGCAGAACCATCTGAGCGATGGCTTTATAATGATGATGACAAGCTTGACATATTCCCAACAATCTGTAACCCATTTCTGCACTGGGTTCATCACTCTTGTCCTCTGTTTCACCAGCTCATTCGCTTTCCCATTGCGAATTGTTGGGCATCTCTTTTTCACTTCATCCTCATTCACGGCCCTGTTTATATATCAATGCAGCAGTTAATGAGAATAGAAATTAAATGAAAATGCACCCCTCTCAGCATCAGTAACTGGTTTGCACTTAATATTTGTGAAGTCGGGACTGGAGGTGGCTTAAATCAGTCACACACTGTGCTTGTGAAAACATGCAGCTTGTCTTCCTCCATTTTGTGAGTGATTTTGTTCCACGTTGGGCGCTTTGTGAAGCATGGGCCAGTGGACGGTAATGGCGGATCATGTTGCTCTAATGTGATGAACTTGATACCCTTAGCCCCACCACTTCCCACTCATACACACACACACAAAACACATACACAATATGTAGCGCTGACCCCCTGATTGACCATCTAGGAATGTAGTATTTATGGATTAGCTGTGAAACAAAGTTTAATGCTAGCTCTTAATACTACACCTATGATATTGTATTGTTGTATTGTAAATAATCCATTGCCAGAAATCTGGTTGACAGTTTTACATTTACCATAACGCAGGTTGCCAACCGTTATAAAGTTGTAAAAAAGAAATGACGAGGCAGTGTGCAGCTACTACAGCCACACAAAATACCTGGCCACTCTTTTTCATATAATAAAAGTAAATGAGGACAGATACTGTCAAGCTTCAAATCATAAACAATCATAAAAGTGCTCCATATTACTGTTGCACAGCGTTCCAAGTTTTCTGAAGTCATAAGATAGCTTTGTGTGAAGAACAGACCTCTGAAAATCTATAGCAAATGTGTTGCAGTTAGATATTGTATTAGGTTTAACGTGAATTATGGCTGTTTTCGTTTTGGGAACTATTCCTTTGAGTACTTTTCTGTCTTCAACAACCAAGCAACACACAGATCCATTTTGCTGTTATTAGTATTGCCAAGATGAATCTGAAGAAGTGAATAGCTCTTCTTCATCTTCTTCAATGTAGCATTAGTAACTTATTTTTCTCAGTCACTGAATCATCTGACGGTTGATATCAAATTTCTCACATTCACTGATGATAAAGAATTAACTTCAGGGTTATTGCTAAGGGGACCACACACTAAAGCAGCCTCATTGTGTCTGGATTGCCTCTATCATTGGGCCCACCCAGTAGCCTACGGTGTGGGGAACAGAGGCCTCATCCACAATGCTCCTCGGCAGAGCTGCTTTTCATTATGCCCGGAGAATAAGGCCGACTCCACTCTTCTGGATCCAAAAGAGCAGAAGCCCTGGTACCCCCTAAACACTAACACACCAGAGGGAAACATAAGCCCAGCTGAGACCCCCTCCAGAAACCTGAGCCCTTGGGCCAATCGCCCACCACCGCCACACTCACACTGTAACTGTTCATAAATCACTCAGAGTTCAGCACTGCACCCTCCTCTCTCTCTCTTCATCTCCATTTTGTCCTTGTGCCAACTCTGGCGTTCCAGAGGGACAGCTGGAGGGGAAGCACAGTGTCCCTGACCAACATCACGGAAATCTGTAAAGTACTAGTGGAGGATGATGGGTAGTTGCTGTTGGGCAATATGAGTGCTTGAGTAATTTGTTGAAAGTACAGGGCACAGGTATATGTGTGAAGCCTTTACAAGCAAGACACTATAGGCTTGAGTCTGAATTTTCCATTGAAAATGTAGTTGTTTTTTTTTATGTATGGTTTTTAACATTGCGCAAAAATCATACCGACTTCCAACTTTTAAACAGTAGTGTATATATATTCAATGAAATTTAATGGTTAAAGTTTGTGCACATCATTAGTGCTGTTGTTGGTCTGGACTGGAGGCTGCAGAACATGCAATGCCACATGCAATACAACATGAATGACTCTGTTCTGCAGTTCTTTCATCAAATCTTTTACTTAAGAGACAAGCTGGAATTCATCCACAGTGTGTTTTTGTCTGTTACTCTTTGGATTTTCATCACCTCATTACTCAAAGGCCCAAAAGAGTCTATGATTACTTTTTGTCTCACTAGATCTAGTTCTGCTCTAGAACTGTTAGGTGTTTCAAAGTGAGCATGAAAGGCTTCTTTTGGCACTAAACTTCTGTCTTTACAGATCAGTATTGAAAATAGTCAGCAATTTTTAGGGTTTGGGTTAGTTCTTAGCAGGTTTAACTTTTAGTATACATTGGTGCATAACTCATCCAACACTGTTTGTGCTAAGCCACGATAACTCAAATCTCGCAGCTTGTTAAAGAAAGTTAAACGCCTGGTGGATGATAAAACAGCCTTAAAATCCCTCAAAAGTACCCAGAACACCCTTGCGACTGCATAGCAATGCACTAGCCACAATGTAAAGTTCCCTACTAGCAACACCCTGGCAATCATCCAATCATTGGGTATCATTCACTAATTGTGTAGATAGACATGCGCATTCACATGGATTTGTTCTTAACCTTGTTCTAATTAATGAATTTATAATATTCTTTTAGTTGAAAGAACTTGTGCCAACAGATCCAAACCATCTCCATATTCTACACAACCTTTCGCCACTCTCAGAAAACATACAGTATGACGCTCTCTACACACAGTCTAAAATTGCAAGCTATCAGCATCTATCCTGTCAGTCATACACTTTTTTTTTTTGTATATCTGGGTGCGAATTGTGAATTTGTCTGAGTATATACAAAAGAAGGAGTGCGGGTAGATTTGCCTGTCACTGTTGCTGTCAAGCCCTCTATCTGCAGCAGGAAATGGGTGGGGCTTAAACCCACCTGCCCTGTCAATCACATAGAGGACAGCTGCGCTGGCGTCAGGCTGTCACAAGGATGGCCATCCATCAGCAAGCTGGCTCAGCAGGTCCGCCCCCTCCTCTTGCCAAAACTCACATTCCAGTAATGCCCAGGACCCCAGCATTCCACAGCCACCTCTGGACAGCTTGACCCCCTGCTACTGGCTTGTTGCACGCTCCTGGACATGTGTGTCCCTGTAGGGGTTATACAGCTCATTTGCATCGTGCTCTAAGAGAGCAGTATTCATGCTCTTACTTAGTGGTTGTATGAAGGCAAGATGAGGAATTATGGACTGGCATCTAAATCAATGATGAAATGAAAATTACACAGGCAACATTATGTTGTGATGACTTAATTCACTTTATTCAATTTAGCATTTATTTTATTTAAAAAAAAAAAATTTTAGACAATATTGTATAGAATTTTATTATCGACCATGTATTGGTTATTGGCCATAACACAAACATAAGCCGTATTAGCCAGAATTTTAATGTGGGAACATTTCTTATGGTTATGAATTATCTTAAATTATTCTGTATTGATGCATAAAAAAATTAATCTGATTATTTAATTAAATTTATTGATTGAAAAAGCATACATTGACAAATCATTGAAGATAATTTTTATGAGATCTGAAAATTCTGGCACTAAAATTGCAATGAATTTAATTTTTAAAATCATAATATTTTTAGTGACAGATGTTTCCAGTTTCTTCGGCATTTGTCGTTTAGCGATTATTATAAGCAGAGCTGTGATTTTTAAATCTGTTAAGCATGCTCTGTAAATTCTGTTAATTATTTAATGATATTTGTTAATACTATGTATATACTATACTATATACTATGTATATATGGGTAGCCTTTGAACCACAAGCAAATTTTAAAATCAACAGTGTTTGAGCTTTCAGTACTGACAGATTACAGGTTTTTGAATGCACACACCCTCAAACTTATAACAAGACTCAAAACCTGAAAAATTTGGTGTTTAAGAAAAAAAAAGCCATATAAAAGTTTCCAAACAAAACTTGTGTTAATTTTCTGCTTAATTTTAGTAAAGCACTAATCTAAACCTTTAGAGCCTGGAAGTGTCAGGCGCTGGGTATATATTTGTAATCAATAGTTTGAATGCAACTCCCTAAACCAAATCATGATGTGCCTAAAGATTCACACCCATGCATATGTTGTGCATTTAGACATAAGAAGTTTGCTGTTTAGAGTATATGGCCCTTACAGACCGACCTACTATGCAACACAGTATGAAGCTGAAGTTTGAGCACTGTCTCCGTGTTGCAGTTCATGATCACATTGTGAAAATATCGGCTCATCCTGAGCCAGAGATTATGGGTTTTGCCAAGTAATAGGCCATGTCTGGATCGTTTTTGCTGGCTGTGTTTGGTCTGTGTTCCTGCTTCACTGCTACTAACCTTTTCCCTTAATGTATGGTGCTCACAAGGCGGTTAGATTTATTAAGGGAGACGGAGACTTCATCTCTGGGACTCTAGAAATCAAGATTTAGGGCATAATTAGTCTCCCCTCCCCTCCCATATCTACCTCCTCTCCCAGTCTTTGCTCTCCTCCACTCTGTGTGTCGACCTTCAGGCTCCTTGCCGGCGTCGGGGGAGTTCCTCCACGTGTGCTGGACTCTAGAAAGAGCTATTAAAAAGCCATTCATTAAGACAGCACCTCCCATGGACCTCAACAAACCTCACTGCCTTACCACAATATCTGAATCAAGTGTATGTGTTCCTATGTGGACTGTTTCTGAATAAGATATAAAGTTTACAGGTTTTAAATGAAAAACAAAATGCAAGTAAGTAATTTCTTCACTTGTCAAGGGAGTAATTTTCCATTCTTGATCTCTTCATTCAGGTTCTTGTCTCAAATAGGGGGCAGTTTGGATCAGATGGGCAGTGCTGTTCTCAGGCAGAGTGTTGAGAGCAGTGTTCAGAGCAGTGGTCTGGATGTCTTGGCCAAATCTCTGGACACCACACCTGAAACTCTACAGCTCATTGTGGATGGACTCATTCAGCCTCCTGGCTTTGACATTCGTCAGGGTAAGAATCAATCTGTGATGTGCCCACACTGTTACCTCCCTATAGAGGACAGCATAATCTTTGTCTCTAAAGATATTTGCAGGGCTAAAAAAGAGATTAGCCACTGGCCCAGCAAGTTAACGTAAGTTAACCCCTTCCGGTTCAGTGCTGTGTTGCCAGAGTCACTTTCATTGATCTAGTACATTCATTTATGTCTTGAAAACTGCTGATTTATCACCTAGATAATGTTATCTCACTAACAGATGAGGTTTTGTTGAAATTGTGAAAATTACTTAAAGCTGCAGTCCGTAGCTTTTTTGGGGTTAAAAATGATCCAAAATACATATTTGAGAAAATACTGTACATAACCAACCTGTGTTCAAATCTATCTGCTTGCCTTAGCTCAATTCAAAGCGATAATAATGTTTTTAAATCCAATGGTACTGGTGGATTTCCACGGGAGATTTGAGCATGTTTTTGCGTCATTACGTCGCATCTGTTCACATAAAGAAGGAGTCTCGGCTAGTAGGCTATATTGCGTGTGAGGATGTTGGAGGTGGAGATTTATTGCCTTTTTTCACAGCACTTGATGTAATTACTTGTATAAATAACTTATCAATTTGATGGCGGATCCAGAAAGGTTCAAACGACAATCACCAGTGACAACTGATTCACCCGCTGTAAAATACAAAAGACGTGGCTACAGAAAAAAAAGAGACTGCAACAGAACTCATGTGAAAAAAATGATAATATCGGAAGGACATTACATTATCAAGCAATGCTGACTTTGTTAACATTAACAATTTATGAACAAAGTATAATTCGCACGGTTTTGCGTTATATGAAAACTTATAAGGGATTGTTAGATTTAATCAGTGCGATTTACTGCAATGACAGAACCAGAACCAAAGTGGTTGTTTCTTACTAGTTGATTATGTTGGTAAGAACTTCCAAAAAGAATAATCTGTGATTCTGAATGCCAGTATCCACACCGGCGCGGTGACTGACAGCCGCACACTCTCCTCAAACATTGTGTTCATCCACGCTGTGCCGTGTCGAGGTTGTCGAAGTACAACTCACATAAAGTTGTTAATTCCGTGAATGACTGCAATTGCAGTTTTCGAACAGAGATGGCGATAAAGAGGAAAAATGCCAGACTGCAGCTTTAAAGTTTTCAGTAAAATTGCTGAAAACACAAACCAATCCGTTTTTTTTTGCGAATCTCATGTCATCGTTGCTCAAAATATGTTTTTATGAAATTTATAGAGTTACATCATAGCTGTTATCTTTTTAATACAATGCGTTTGTTTTGAGCTTATGTTTTTCGCATCGTATAGCCTGTGGCAACGTTTTAAAAGATAAATTTACTGTACCTATAGGGTAACACACAGATGAAGGTTTTGAAATTCACTTTGAATAAACCACACTATAAAAGTACTTTCTCAACATGGCCGCTACGCAGATCATAGACAATGCTGGCATCTCGTTCTCTTTTCCTCCTTCCCATCTAACAATTTCCCTCCCGTCTCCCCTGAGTCCGTCTCTTGTCTGTGAGATGACTGGGCGACGCTCCAGGCTTTTGAAGTCTTGCCGCGTAATTTGGGGGAAGACCCGCATTATTAAAGCAGGCCTGCCGACAGATATATCATTAATGAGAGAGAAAGCTGCGTTAAGAGGAAAACAGAGTAGCCTTGATCCCAGCGCTAAAATCCCCCAGTGACTCTCCGAGTGAATAAAACGACCGAACAACAAATGCCTCTTCTGGTTTTTATGTTAAGTTCAGACATCTGAGAAGACATTGTTTTCCTTCTGCGGGTGTTGATAGTAAATGTTATGTTTCATTAAAGGTGACAGGATTATAATTGAGATGAATGTCTTAACGTGTTTTCAGGGTAGGGGAACAAAGTTCAGTATATTCAGAGAAAGGGTTTTATTTCAGTACTCTGAAATACTTACTTGAAGTACTTTGAATTTGAATTAAGACTCTGCTGGATCTTTAAGAAATAAATTAACCTGAAAAAACTTTTTGCTCATATCTGAATAAAGCGTTTTTAACGTTATTGATCGAGACCATTAGTGCAGGATACTCCAGATGATGAGATGTCATCTCGTCTGTGCCGTGCACTAGATGGGACGCTAGCTTTCTCATTAGAAGGCTTGCAGGCTCTCTTCCGCTGGTTGGAAGCCTGATGGGTTCTGCTCTGTAGCCAGCTGTATAAATAACTGCCATGTGAGCGGTGCTCTAGGTAAGGTGGCCCGGATAAGAATAATCAGAGATGAATGTTTCCTGGACTGCAGAGCCTGCTGAGAGGCCATGTTTATGTAAAAAGCACCTCCCAAAGAAAATCACCCCAAAAAACAGACAAAATGGGCTTGGAAAGAAGAGGTTTGAGAAGCTTGGTAATATTATTTGTTTTATTTATTAACCAAAGCTTGTTTCTAATGTCTAGCTTTGGAGATCTTGGATCAGTTTGAAGCAGGGTCCTTAAGACACGCTGGGAAGAAGTGTCTGGCTATGTCAGTATTAAGGCCCGGTCCGTCACATCAAGGACCATAATGATAAAGATGTAGTTTTAAAAATCATAGTTATTGGAAATAGACCAAATCTGTATTCTCTCTCTCCTGAATTTCATCTTTGATTCTAAAGGGGCAGTTATATTTACCATTGCTCAGCAGAATTTGCAAGTGATCAAGTGTTCCGCGTAAGGGCGAAAAAGTTCCCTATGAAGTTGTTTGATTGGTTTGACTTCTGTGTGAACTGTGCATCATTCTTTTATTTACCCAAATTTCAGTAATGTGACTACAACTTACCCTAATTATTTTCTTTTTTCTTGCCCTCAATAGATTTTGAGCAGGCAGACTTCAAGCGAGAAATTGTGTCCATGAATGACCTGCATGATGGCATGGTGCTGACAGGCCGTGTAACAAACACTGCTTTATTTGGAGCCTTTGTGGACATCGGAGTGGGCCGTTCTGGTCTCATCCCAAACCGTTTTATCACGCCGGAAAAACTTCCTGTTGACCAGAGGCGAAGAAGCCTAGCTCTCGGACCAGGTGAGCGGGTAGAGGTACGGGTCATGAATGTGGATCTTCAGAGGAATCGGATCAGTCTAGACCTCATTAGGGTTCTCAGATAGGAACTATAATTGAGGATTTACTGTAGTCAAGTGTAGTTAACTGTTTCCATGCGGAATATTGTGTTATGTGTCATTTTATTAATGTGTGGAATAAAATGAAAATTGTGTTGACTGTGCTGAATGAGAAAATGTCTTAGAAAATGTTTTTTATTTGCACATTAGCAAGTTTCTTAATCAGTCCGCAAATACTAATATTAGATCAATCTTTTGTTCTTGTAAAAATGTGCTGTTTTTTTTTTTAACCTGCTGTTACTATAGTTTTCAAAATCTTCAATAAAATAGATGTTATGTTTCATGAAACATGACAGGATTATAATCCTGATAATCTTGATATTCCCAAATATGATGATTCCAGCTGCAAGGGATACTTCCTAAAATATAAAGGGAGTAAATGGATAATATAGAGGCATGATGCTTTTCAAAATTAAGTTGGTGTTTGCATTATGAACTAAATACAAAGCAAATAATTAAAATGTTATCTGGAGAATATTTACTTCATTTGAAGCTGTCAGTTGTTAAGTTAGTAAAAAAAGAATTAATCATAAATATCTTAAATTAACTTTTTAACTATTAACTATTAAATATCTTAAGTTAAATTTGTCCTTAAAATACTTTTTTGTGTGTTAAAATCACCTTTCCACTAACCTTTTCTTTCTCAGATGTAAAATTGAAAGTTTTAAAACTTGTGGTATAATGAATCTGAATTTATTCTGCAGTTAATTATAAATATTAGGGAATGGGTTCTCCAAAAAACATTGGTCACAATTAATGGTACCCCTTGAATTTTTTGAGCGAGGAGGATTTTTCTTGAAACCGTCCCAAGTAACATGTGGGGATGTAGGGTGTAAAAAAAAAATGTATAGGCTTTCTGACCCCAATACTCAAGTTATCTCGTAATCTCTACAGTTCTCCATCTGTGATCCTTGGAGAGTTTTTGGCCACTCACACTTTCCTCCTTACCATGCATTAATACAATAAAGACACACATCCTCTTCCTGGCAGATTTGTAACATCTTTATTTGATTGGAACTTCTTAATTATTGCCCTGATGGTCAAAATGGGGATTTTCAATGCTTTAGCTGCCACCTATATATTTCATAATGTGATTTCCCCCCACTTTCTATTATTTTACTTCAAAGAAAGGTTCGATTTTTGACAATTTTTTGAATGAAAGATCAAAAGGATAAACGATGCAGATTTATTTCTTACAGCCAATTTTGATCATATTTACCAGGTGTGCCATTAATTCTGAGCATGACTGTAATACTACTAATGTTACAACTGAAATATTATCGATATTGTTCTTTTTACATAATGCTTTGGTGTGTTTCTTTATCCTACTTTTATACTGTAGTTGTTTTCTAGTGCAACATGGTTGCAGACTGAAGAGGGTGTTTCAGAGGACAGTGATCCAGACACCATTATAGCAACTGGATGCTATAAACCACTCAGGATGCAGCCGCAGTCACAGATGTTGCTAAACTCAGACCTGTTTGATTGACAGCCACTTATCAGGTAGAGAATGGGGGAGGATGGGGTGTAAAAGCAGCTGCCACGTTGCAATATGACTAGAGGCCGTGGGGAAAAACGAAAGCTAATTATCCTTGACTAGCCACGTGCTAATGAGCCCCTTCAAAATTAATCCCACGCTCCCTCGTCTCTATTATCTAATCTGTTTGTGTTTATATGACACAAATTAAAAAAATGGATAAATAAGAAACTTGAGGTGCCCTGAGCACTTAAAACAAACCACAGGGACCAAATTCCAAATGAGTGTGTGATATTTGCATTGGGGACGTTGCTTTGTATTACAGTGAAGTTTCATCAGAACTGAGCTGCAGATGAAGGATTGAAGCATCAGTGTTATCAGGTGTAGTGGATTTTACATTGTTTTTATTCAATAATTCTGCCTTAATCTAAGTCTAAAGCCCTCTAATATTGGGCAACATTTAATTATTTTTCACTATCATTTTTTAAATGGTTTGCTAAAAAAATTTTTTATAAATGTTTTAGTTGGATAAAAAAACGTGTGGATTTATGTGCACATGCTGCACTTTATTTTTTTAATATTTCTCAATCTTTCCCTATTACATGTTTTTTTATTAGCTGAATTAAGAAAAGCATAGGGCTTAGATGTCATTTAAACATCTGGTTTAACCACACAATGTCTTCAGCGATGATTGTATGTGGAGAACAATGTGGCGAATGTGTTATGAAACTAATAACGTGATGAGTGCAAAAACCCAGAACAAAGTACCGCTGGACCAAGCCCACGTACAAACTGGAGAGTTTGGGGAGTGACGGTAGTATTTAAATGCGAAAGTTTTTGGGTGAACGAACCTTTTAATATTTATCCAGTAAATCACAAACAACTGGAAAGTCACGCAGCTATCGAATATGGGGCCTATATCTGAATTATTATTTAGAGTGTAAACAGAGTTCTGGAGTCATTCCTGAAACTGCAATAATTGACATATTGGTAACCATAGGAAACATGGTGGCTCTCAGGTGTGAACAAGTAACTTCCATGCCAGCAGTTAAACCTCTTTGGTATCTGCTGTTTTTTTTTTTTTTTTTTTTTTTTTTAGCTTGTTGTATTGCTCAATTGTGGTTAAGAGTGTATGCTAAATGAAAAAAAGTAAATACCTGAGTCAGATTGAACATTCAACATCCTAAACTTCCATCCTAAAAGTCCACACAGGAGAATGAGCACCATTTAAATAGACGTGTCAAAGAGACTCATACTGTTTAACTGCATAAAACAGCTCCTCCAGCCAAGAGCAGAACACTTCTCTCTTTTTCAGTAAATCATAGACGTATCCCACAACTTCCACAACCACACACAACTTCCATATTTGAAAAGTGTTCCAACTGCACCCACTGCTGCCGTCATGACATGAAGTGGGTGTACAAGCAAATGACCGTACAACTTCATGATTGAATCATTGAAAGCCTTGTAAAAGCTTCATATTAGTTGTGTGGATTTCCCATGAAGCCAATATTGCTGTATGGCTGTAGTAAAATCTAATTAGGCTTCCATCCTACGGAAGAAAAATATCAAGAGTGGAACTGGAATTTTACTGCAGAAGTACTTTGTGTTGGCCATGAGGAGTGCGTTTATATGTCCCTTTAGAGAGTTTGCTATGTTCCCACTGTTAGTTTTTGCATGAGTTCCATCACTCCGTTGGGAGAATGATGGTTTGTACTTGTCTAGTTTGTAAATGAGAGTGGATGGCCATAAACTTGTATATGTGGTGCCTTCCATGATAGGTTTTAGCTTGTTAAAAGTGTTGACAGTGAAGAGTAAATGATGAGTCTCAGGGACAGCAGGGGAAAATAACACTAAATGCCTATTATAATAATTATAAACTGACTATATATTCTTATGCCAGGATAGTTAAATATGGTTAACTTTATTAAGATGATTTAATTAGAAAATGTATATGTATGTATTCATAGAAAATGTATAATATATATATATATATATATATATATATATATATATATATATATATATATATATATATATATACACAGAGTATATAGTGAGGTAGCATGCACACACACATTTGATTTCTTTATTTGAATCCACCAATCAAATTTCTTACAGAAAGGGTTCAAACATTTCACACACACACACACACACACACACACACACACACACACACACACACACACACACACACACACACACACACACACACACACACACACACACACACACACACACACACACACAGTGTTTATAACAAGGTAGCTAATATTCATTTTCTAATTAAATCATCTTAATAAAGTTAACCCTATTTAACTTGCATAAGATTATATAGTCAGTTTATATTTATTATAAGCATTTATTATTTTTCCCTGCTGTCCCATAGAGTAATTTTGAAAATTTCAAGTGCTTTGGCCACACAGACCATCAAAACAACTCCATTCTCTCAGACCCAGTTTGTACTCATTCGCTCTTCTCTGGATGCCTAAGGGCAAGCGAATGGCTCTTTGCATTAGGCTGCACCTTGTCAACAGAGCTTATAAAAACTGTTGTCCCCAAATGAGAGTGATATCAAAACCTCAACGCAAGCATTGGATTAGCAGGCCCCTGTCTCCCCAGAGCCCCCCCTGCCCTCCAACCCAACTGAAAGTCATCTAGCTCCCTCTTTGGCGGCCATTAGACTAACTGTGTTACCCAGCCCTGGTATCCCCTGCAGCCCCTCAGCTCATCTCCACTAAGTGGATAATGTCTTTAGACTGATTATGAGAGTGAAGGATGCTATTGAGATGGGGCCCTGAAGCAGTGAGTCCTTTACAGGCCAAATATTTTCACAGCGGTCCAGGTGTTTCACTCTCAGGAGGGGGAGGGTATAAAAGGGGGCTCACTAATGTGATTTACCCAAATGTGAGGAGAGACATTTCACTTAGAATGTTAGCTTAGCTTCTATATTCATCTTAAAGTTGGAATATAAAAAAAAAAAAAACGTATTTTAATACATATATATATATATATATATATACACACACACACACACAAACACACACACTTTGGCACCGATGTAGACTTAACCTTAATTCTTCCATCAACACAAATCGTTTAAAGTTTGGTTGATTCAGGCCTCTTGGCCTCTTACCAGGCTGTCTCTTTCCTCCTAACAAAACTGTGAAATCCCCCATCAGAAATATTTGTGGACTCAGTAGACCTCTTCCTTTTCTTGGGTCATCAGCCCCTTGCTCGCTGTGATTGACGGGCCTGAGTAGGAAGTTGTGTTTCCACTCGCCCTCACCTCACTGGTCCCATGATATGTGAAACCTTTATCAGTGAGGCTTTCTTGTAGACCTTCTGACTTTTTCACGTCTCTCAACTCATATGCATAGTTCATATCCACGGATCATTTCACCCACCGGAAGGAAAAGAGGTACACATGAAGGGGGAAACCCTATAATGGCCAGAGAAACATGCAATATTGTGGTCTAAAGTTGAACATACACCATTGCAACTATAACAATGAAAAATAAGAAAATAAAAAACCAACCATTGTTTTATTGTTGTTCTATTACATCTTTGTTTCTAACTTATTGAATCTACATTGCATTAATCTGCTTTTCAGAAAACAAGTACATTTTAAGCAATCTGAAAAACGACTCCGTACTTTTACATTACCGTTAAAAAGGTCAGTACAATTGTTTTTAAGGAGATTCATATTTTTATTCAGCAAGGATGCATTATATTGATTAGAAGTGATAAAGATGTGTAGTTACAAAAATATTTCCATTTCAAATAAATGTCAATTAATTAAACAATTTTCTGTTCATAAAAGAATTGGGAAAAGGTTTCCACTAACATTGATAATTATAATACGGAATGTTTGGTAGCACTTTACTTGAAGGGGTGTGCATAAGACTGACATGACACCTTCATAACCATGACATGACATATGTCTTGAATATGAAGTAGGGTTTATGCATGTTTATGACGACTGTCATTAAGTGACTTTCACTCAATAATGACATTTTGAATGGAAATATGACATTATTTAAGATGCCTTTGTTATGACATCTTGACATAAACCATAACATCATAACCTGTCAGTGTCTTTGTCATGACAACTTGACATAAAATGAAGTTAAACTGTCATGTGGTTGGCTTTGACATTGGCTGTCATGAGGCCATTATAAATGTGTCATGAATATTTTTCGTGACCTCAACTACAGTGGTACCAATTGAATTTGTCTTGGTGAAAAAGTTATAATGGCTTCATGACAGTCAATGTCAAAATCAACCACCTGAAAGTTTAATGTAATGTTAACCAATAAAGCTAAGTGGTTTCTTAAGTTTGATAATTAATCTGCGATGTCATGTTTATGACAGGTTGCGTTGTCTTAGTAATGTCAAGTTGTCATGATAAAGACACCGATAGGTTATGATGTATTGGTTTATGTCAAGGTGTCATAACAAAGACATCTCAAACAATGTCATATTTGCATTCAAAATGTCATAACTGAGTGAATGACACTTCATGACAGTTGTCACAAACATGCATAAAACTTCCTTCATATTCAGAAGGTGTCATGTTATTCTTATACTGTATTTTATTTCTATCATAATTTTTATTTTTCATTATTCTTTTGATTATTTTAATTTCTTCTATGTAAAGCACTTTGAATTGCCATTGTGTATGAAATGTGCTATAAAAATAAACTTGCCTTGCCTTATGCACAACCCTTCAAGTAAAGTGTTACCGAATGTTTAAGCACCAAATCAGCATAGTAGAATAATTTCAGAAGGATCGTGTGACACTGCAGACTTGAATAAATGACTGCTGAAAATTCATTCATTAACATCAACTTAATAAATTAGATTTAATAATGTATAAAAATAGAAAGGTATTCATTTTGATCAAATAACAGGTGTCTTGTTACATAATAAGGTAACACTTTATTTCGATAGTCCACTTTAGACAAAAGTAACTTTGCAGCCACTTGTAAACTGTCATTAGAGCATAATGTATTCTTTTAGTAGAATGTATTCTTACTAATGATGAAAGTTTTCATTAGTAGATTTATGTTGAATCATCAAGAAAATATGTATTTTGTTTGATGTTAATGGCCTAAAGCATGTTTGATTCACTCCTAACAAATTGCTAACTCGTTTGTTGGTCCTCCAATTCTACTGACTACAAGTAACTTGACAACATGTCAACTTATCCTACTAACCCTAACATCTATTATTAATTTGCTCATAATAGTTGTCATCATTTACAATTATGAGAGAGGCCTTAAGGAGATTTATGTTGAATCATCAAGATAAAAAAAATGTGTATTTTGTTTGACGTTAATGGCCTAAAAGCATGTTTGAGTCACTCCCAAAAAATTGACAATCACATACAAATTCATTTTTAACTTTATCCTAAAATGACTGTTAATCAGCACTTTAAAATTTCTTAAAGACCTAGGTGAAACCTGATTTATTAAAGTCACTGCTATAATGTTTTAACATATGACATTGTTAAATATGACAATAAGTTCCCAGTGAGCTTCATTGCAAGCATTGGTAATGACAGGGGAGGACATGTCCTGATGTGTCTCTGAGATGCTGATGGTGGCTGCCAGGACATAAAACCTGCTGAGTAATTACCTTTCATTTAAGATATTCGACTTCTAAACAATGAGTAGTAATAATACCTTATCAATGTCAGACTGACTTGTCACATTATGACAGATTTACTGTTAAAACAATACCACTGGCTCTCGAAAGCAGACCTGCCCTGAGACGAGCCGTCTGCACTCTTCCAATGCTGTCACTACATCACACTGCAGTGCACACTCCCACCCATGTCACACTTCCACGAAACCTCATAATGCACTGTTCTTAAAAAAAATAAGTCTTAAAGCATTTATGACCGTTCCATTTTAAATTTGAGGACAGGATGAAAGCTTTTTGACACCCACAATAAACTCCATTTTGATTTGGTTAAATGTAAAATTCGATACTGTTTTCTTAACAGTTTGGGAAGCTTTTAGATTCATTTGGTGATTTATGTCGGCTAAGAACATTATATATTATTTGAAATTCTTAGTGTGGGTGTGTGTGTGTGGGTTGGTGTCTGTTTCTCTGTGTGATCATTTAGGGAAGTAGGAAGGAAGGAGGTAGTCTATTAGCTGTAGTGCTACTTGGCCCTGACACCTTTTCAGACAGCTGATGATAATCTATTTTTCCCAATGGCCAGCAATTCAGGAACAAGAGGAGACAGGCCTGTCATCGAAAGCTTTCAGTCATTTTGACAATTAGCTGTGCAACTGGTTTAAGAAAGTGTTTTGTTTTGTTTTTTTCAGTGCAAGTTTTGGTGCTTCTGCTCTGTCAAATAGATGCAAGATGTCAGTTTTAGGCAGTAGACTATTGCCTTTCAAAGCAAGGGCCATCAAAAATATGTACAGCAGTCACATGATTTACATGCCTTGTTTACATTTCATTTTGTTGAAAGGACCTTTCAGGCATAATATAGCATTTTTGTGGGGATCAGAGTTCAGGCTGTGTCAAGGTGTGATGAACAACATGCTGACCCCTTTGGTAAAAAAAAAAAATCATCCTCAAGTCTGAACAAGTTTCAAGTATAGGTTTATTTTTTTATCCATGTTGTCTTTTTTTTTAATAAGAAATTTTAGGTAATTTTTTGTACAAGCAATGAATTATTTACTATTCACTAGAATTGTCTAGGCATTGTACAAAGTAATGCATGTTTACATGTATTATTCATTTGCTTATACATTTTTTACTGAATTAAAATTATTTCTTTTCCATAAGTCATTTAGAAAGGCACACTTGTGTATGCTCACTAAAAATAGTTACAAATCACGTTACCTTAAACTTTTAATAAAGTTGTACAGTTAAAATAATATAACCTGTTATGTTAAGAGATGGTTTGTATGGGTTACATTGCATAGCAATATTCGTAAATTTCAAAAGAACATTAGGGTTTATGTTATATAAGCTATGTGTTGTTGAATGCATTGGTGTGTTAAACTCTAGCAAAAAAATAAATAATTAATACTTCTCAGGAAAAAAAAAACACCTGCAAGACTTGGAAGAAGGCCTGGTGAGAAGTAAAGTACTACATTAGTTACTTTAGGGAGTTACTTTAGTTACTTTTTAGGTTCATGTTTTTTTTTTGTTTTTTTTTTTTTATGTGAGTTTGAAAGTCTGTTAGTGTGTTATCCTCAGTCATTTACTGTATGATTTCCAGGTTTAATCTGTAACCATTTACTCTAACCAGTTGGAAAGTAGCCTGTGATAAAATCTTATTTCCAAAGTGGTGTATTCCAGCCTTTAGTTTTGATAAATATCATTTTAATATGAACATACAAAATAAAAATATGATGGTACTGGTTTGTTGATAGTTCTCAAGTGAAATGTTAATTTTGGTAAATCATTTAACAGAAGACATTGTCAGTAATGAGTTTAGGTTATTTTTGCAAGTCTTGGTGACAAAGATTCTTATTTGCTTGTGTCCTGTGTCTATATTTTTTTTTTCCTGGCTTGTTCCATCAACATGGCCAAGTAATGAAACTTCAGAAACTCCACCTAACACTCTCCAGGTACTGTATGATGCCCATGCTCTCCAGGACTGAAGACAGAGGCCAGAAGTGTCTAGGCCAGTGAGCCTTCAACAGAGCTCTGAGTGAGCCAGATTTTTGCACTAAATGCTTAGAGCTGATTTTGTCTCGGGCCAAGCACAACACTGTAATGCATCTTAAAAGCATGACACGTTCAAAAAACTGCAAAGCCGTAGGGTGACTCATTGGGGCCTTTTCTTGGGGGCCAATATTAAGATATTAAGACTCAACAGCAGTGAGGTTAGTATTTCAGAAAAACCTACCCTGGGAAGAGAAAATTGATCAGAGAGTCTTCAAAATTTCGAAAAAATGTAAACTTGTCATGGTCCAGTTGTTGATGACTTTGTAAAAGGCTGTGGTGATGCTTGTCTGCAGCTGATGTATCTCAGTCCAAAGATATGACTATTGATTTCAGAACTGAAGCTCATTCTTCCCAATATAAGTTCATTAAAGGTAAGAAGGTGGAGTGTGTGGAAAGTTATTAATATTTAGGGACTATTATTTACAATAAACTACATTTTGATGTTTATACCAGAAAGACGTCTGTCAGTTTTATTCAACAGTTATCCTCTTGGGTAGTGAATTTTTTGCACTGCTCTTGCTATAGAACGATCAAAGATGAAGAACAATTTGTAAATATTAATTTATCCCTTGTACACTCAGATTGTTAAATACTCAGAATGGTATATATTAATATTTTAAATTTATATGTAGCCCACTGTTGTGTGTTCTTATTTATCTTGTTTTATATTGTGGTGTATATTTTTATGTGTTTATTACGCTGGATACAAATATCTTAATAACGTTGAACATGAACCAACGTTACTTCAAAATACACAAATCATAAAACATAAAAAATAAACATAAACAATGACTGCTTAGTGAATGGTGACATACGTACAGAAGATCACAGGATCAATAACATCCCGCCAGATTGCCTGAATCCATTTCCGTCGAACGGAAGGAATGAAAACGAAAGCTCTATGGCTGCTTTTGGGAATAACAAAAAAGATCGGGACGCAACAACGCTATCTGTTATGAATGGAGCGGAAGAAAATTACCACTTCAATTGCGTATTTCCGGTCACAAATACGGAAGTTGTGAGAAAGGTCTATTAGGAGTGACCACGGTCAATCGGACTGCAGTAGATGTGAAAGATATTAATAAAATGTTAAATCAGCCAGCGCACATACCTGTTCCTGTTTTCGGTCGAAGTCCACAGACCAAAGTAGTCAATTGTCGAGTTCGTGCGCATGATCATTGGTATCCAAGCAATAACACGCGAACTCGACATTCGACTACTGTGGACTTCGACCGAAAACGTGAAGTAGACATGCAGGTATGTGCGCTCTGCGCTGGCTGATGTAACATCATTTTTATTATCCTTTACATCTACTGCAGTCCGATAGGGAGCTAGCCTACTAAAATTAGGTAAGTCCATTTTTTTGGTTTGTTTTGATTTATTTGGTTTATTGACTTGTTAATAGCAATTTAGTGTGGGATATGTGTCGGGTTTCGGTCCAGCTTTTAAAATAACGACCATGTAAACGAAAGGCACATCCGATAAAATATTTTTACGTTTTCACCCGCGAGCGTCCTCGTGTAAACAGGGCCTAACTACGTTTTCACAACAACAATGTACTAAAAAAAATCTTTGCGTTTTCCGTGTACAGACGACAAGCAAAACACGTCTAAAAAAGCCCCTCAAGTGCATCTCAATTTAATTATTGACAAAATACGATTCACATATCCATAAACAAATTAATGATCATAAAAAGCTTCATACATTTGCTAATGACAATTCTCAAACTCATGACTCTTAAGAGACACAAATCTATCAGGTTTTTATGTAATTTTACCAATTTGTTTCCCATTTCCTTTTGCCATTTTCCTTTATTACCTACTTAGTTTTCCCATGGAAAACTTGCAATCTGAGAGTACAGGTTTCTCAAGCTTTTGATGTGCACAGGACATTCGAGATAAAAACAAATATTGCTGCATACAATATTTAATGTTGGGTAATTTGTTTACCTCATGACTATTTCAAGATGTTGTTTGTCCTCTTGATTCCTGTGAAATGGCAAAGAATACTAGGGATTTTTTTCTTGGAGTATATGACAGATGTAAGGGCCATGTTCAAATATTGAAATAGATGTTCAAATATTTAAGCAAATCTTCTTAAATACAACAAGAAGAACAATTCAGCACCACATTAAGCTATCATCTCATTATTAAATATAATTTCTTAGCAAAGTGAAAACGCCCACACAAAGTATAAACTGTAATGTGAGATATTGATCATTGATCATTTCTCACATGAACCTATGGTGCTCTCTATGTTCAATGTAGAGCACAGTAGTTCTGTATATCAGGAGCCCATCATTTCCTGCACTTCCCCTGGTACTTTACTGGAGACACAGCTGCCCTATTCTGACGTGCATCTCAGCCATTGTTTCTGCAAAGGATCAGCTCCCAGCTGAACTCATATCCTGCCTGCGAAGGAAGCAAAAGGGACAACACAAGAATGTGTGTGCAGAAGCCCCCCCCCCTCCCCCCACCCCCAAGAACAGTAGAGTTTAATGAAGCCTAATGAAGATCTATGCGAGTCCAAAGTGGATTTGACTGGTCTGTTGAAAGAGCAAGGCTGTTTGCATTCCTTTAAAGCAACATATTCCCAAAGTTGGCTCAGGTCAGACTTAGAACTTGTTTGCATCACCTGTTTGGACGCAATGTATTTGTTTGGATTTTGTCACACACAGCTATTGTGCATGGAATTGGTTTAAAAATTGAGATCAAGACCCTCTATCTGCTCCAAATTTATGTGCGATAACAAAACATAATGGATCAAAAGGCAACTGTTTTGCTCTCAATGTTCTGAAAATAATTTAGAGCATGCAAAACACAAGTAACCCCCAAGAGTTCTGTGGTCTACACACTTTAGAACAAGAGTACGAAATGAGCATATTTCAAATGGCTTCCAATGCAAACAAGGACTGAATTTTGGCAGCGGCCACTGTGCTTTGCTGATACTGTTAATTGTCCTGTATAAGGGACCTGGTGAAATCTGCGCACTGTGTGGTAAGTAAGTGTGCGGTCCTGCTTCTTGCGATAGTACAGGCCTCCTTCCTTAAGCCTGAATAGCACTTTTTGGCACACGTGGGATCAGGTATAATGATGTCTTTGGCTGCCGGTACACTGTAAACGAACTCAAAGTGCTTGTGTTTATGAGTGATCGGGCTGCTTGGGGACAGACCAGAAGTAGGGCCGAAGCTTAAGGTAGAGTTACGTTATATTTTTAGTCAACTGATCTCATATTTTCAACTAAAATTATATGAAAAGGAATGTCAAAACCGACCAAGCAGTAAATGATCTATCGGAAGAGTTGAGCCAAGTGATGATAGGAATTGGAGGACCTCTGAGGAATTTTGCAGACTTGAACAACACAAAAAGCACCACATACCGGAGTATGTCAAGATTTGTGTGATGAGGGAAATTCCGCATGGTAACTATGTGTTGCCTAGGATTTTTAGTTATGTTGAGGACTTGCTCGCATTTAGAAATCTTAGAATACACCGTTGTTTTTCAGATCACTGTTTTCTGGCCATTGCTATTTTTCTTCCTTCTGAAAGGTATATTTTTCCTGAAATAACAAGCGAGAGCTGCAGATTTGAGTCTTATTTCTAATAGTCCAGATTAATGTTTTGTGGACCCTTGTGAAGAAACCGAGGAAATTGTGGCATTTATAAAAGGCATGTGAAGTGGAGTGAAAAGACTGAGAGTGAGAAAGGAAAAAGACAAAAAAATAAGGAATAAGGGAAAGAGAGAGGGGCGGTTTTTGTCATCATATCTCCAAAGCCTCAGTTCTACATTAGACTCATGGAAAACTACTTAGAACTCCAGACGTGCTAGTCTTGCCAGAATCAGCTTCCATTCCAAAAGGAATTAATATTAATATTAGAGAGAGTCGACCCTGACATGTGCAATTTAGGCCAGAACCCGTATAAATCTATCCCAGAAGCCCTCGCTTCCGGTTGGCCGAGAACTGGAAAGCTGGAACTTCGAGAGCTGAGCGTCTGAAATATCCATCGGCCAATTATCTCCCTCGCCCCGCTCGGGCTTGGAGCTCCATAAAAACTTGTCTGAGATGGACTCTGAGGCATTTCTGTTCCTCATATCCCATCTGACAAGCACTTAAATGTGAAGGACAAAAAGAATTCTGCAGTTCATCTATCACCTGTTACAGATCTGGGCTGTAGCTGAAAAGTAATAGTGTAGTGTTACCCGCAGCTAGAAAGAGAGCCACGAAGTCTATTACTGAAACGTTCGTGTCGGTTGGTTCAGTGTTTACATATGGTTTGACGTAGTACATATATATATATACTTTTTGTGAGTTTGAAATTAAATGGAATTGCCCATGATCCACAGGAAGTTGAATTGGATACACAGGAAGTATAATTAACTGAATTACAATTTTCATAAATCAAGAAAAAAAAAATCTATAGGAGATGTTTCTATAAACCTTTGTCTGACAGTTTTATTCTTCTTTCTAATTAAAAAACACATAGTTACATGACATTTCTTTGAATCTCTGTTCATTTTAATTCTACTTAAATTGGAAATATATAAAGAATTAAATATTTTTATTTATTTATTATCAATTCAATTGTCATTGGCTTTAATACTATTTTAATAGAATGGTAAATGCCATTGGCTTTAATAGATTTTAAAAAGAAAGATGAAACATATTTCTGTGTAATGGTTGGTTAGTAATGCGCTGTGCAGTCAATGAATCGCTTCTGTAGACTCCCATGTGAGACTTTATAAATGGAACATCTAGCTGTTGGAATTACAGTTAAAGAACCCGTTTCCACTGGAGTGTTATGAGAATGTGATTTTCATTTCCAGATTTATCGAAGTTAATAGATAATATTCGTAATTTAATACTACATCTACAAAGTCAAGAAGACCCTGCTGTTCTCAGGCCTTTTTCCACAGGCTCTCTGCAGGTTCAGTGTGTAATATTCTCAGCACCTGTGTAATGTGTGCTAGAGATTTGACTGCTTAAGTTAGCCGTGTCTGTCATGCTAGATGTTTTCATCTTGCCGTTAATTTATTTCTCTTTGCCTCTGGCATGCAACCGCCCGACCGTGATGGAGAAAAGTTGAGGGTGTTAATGTTTTTTTTTTTTTCTTTTGTGCAGCCGAACTGGCTGGCAAGGAGTAGAGCTGTCCGCCTTAAAACTCAAAATGACTAAGTATGACAAAGTGAATCAAGTGAGCTAATAGTTGAACTTTTTTGAGCCATGATGAATTGACTGTCCAACACTGAGAAATATCTTCATAATATTTACTCAAATACTCCAGGAAATGAATGCCTCCAAATGGCAGTTTCAATTTACACCCTCTAAAAAGTTTCCTTTGCTCCCACATGCTCTTCCCTTTACATCATGTTTTCTTTATATCTTTTTACTTTTCATATAAAAAGAAATACTAGATTCTTGGATTGTGTAGGTACTTACAGTGCCATAGCATAGTATAGTTGACATATATTTGAGTGACAGAGAACCACATACAACTGGTGAGAAATTCAGAAAGAGGGTGCAGTTTAAATTTAATAGTGATATAACATAGTTTACTATTACCTGTGTTTTCCCTGAAAATGCCCAAAACAGAATACATTTTGAGCTTTCACAGAACATCACGTATGAGTATGAAATTTGAGTCTAGTAATCTAATGGATTTGTACCTCATGAATATTTATTTTTTATATTCATGAATGTAGTTTCATATATTCAGGATAAATTACACTACACTGTTTGGAAATGTAGTTTACCCAGAGTATATGAAACATAAAAATTACTTATATAGGCTAGTACTCAAGGAAAAAAAAAATTGTTAATTTAATTAATATTGAAATAATTTTTTTATTAATAATTCCTTTATTTAATTATTTATTTTTGCAGTACAAATCTGATGTTTATATGCACAGGCTATCCGATTGGAATCTGGTCATGTTTTAGTGAATAGCAAAAAAAATCACATGAAAAGCAGTTTTTAAAAAGCCGTTTTGTGCTATTCATGTGTGGTTTGAAATCCTTTTCAAATTGCATTTCTGGAAATTCTTTCAATGTCTGACCGCTAAAATCAGATTTTGCGTGGTTTGTGTCACACTTTCTCACACCGTGTAAAACATAAACATGAATCATGATGTTTTTAAAGGAAACAAGTTGGAAGTTGAGGGTTGTTCTGTTGCAACTTCCGGTCGTACGGAAAATTACAATTGAATTACATTCAAGAAGGCAACAGCGTTTGGGGGTCCTGAAAAGCTCTACGCAGCAGTGCTGGTAGCCATGGTAGCGAGGGAGAGTGACAGTCGCCCAGCCAATCATTTCTTTCGTCCCGATTGGAAATAATGAGCAGTGTTTATTGCAG